GGGGGTGAGTTTTCCTCTGACCTTCTGCGAGCCTTCTGTCGTGCACAGGGCATTCGCCAGACGTTCACGCTTCTGGCCTCTCCACAGCAAAATGGGATTGCTGAGCGCCGCATTGGCATGGTCATGGACGTCGCTCGTACGTCCATGGTCCATGCGGCTGCCCCCCATTTTCTGTGGCCATTTGCGGTTCGGTACGCGGTGCACCAAATCAGCCTTCAGCCCCGGGTCTCAATGCCGGAGACCTCCCCTGCTTTGCGGTGGACCGGGAAGGTTGGGGATGCGTCTGCGTTCCGTGTCTGGGGATCTCGGGCGTTTGTCCGAGACTTGTCTGCAGACAAGCAGTCCCCCCGTGCTGTTCCCTGTGTCTTCCTTGGCTTCCCCCCTGATGCGCCAGGTTAGCAGTTCTACCACACCGCCTCGCGATGTGTTCTATCCTCCTAGGACGTCACGTTTGACGAGTCGGTTCCGTACTACCGTCTCTTCTCCTACCGGACTGCCTCCCTCCCCCCGGCGCCGCTCTTCCTCGCGCGAGGTCCCCTCCGGGTAGACCCCCTTCCCCCTCAAGGTCCTGCCCCCTCAGATGTGTCCCAGGTAGATGTAGTCAAGCCTCTCAAGGTAGCTCTTCACTCTGGTGCTGCTAGGGGTGTTGAGCCTGCGGGTGCAAGGTCTGGGGGTGCTGAGCCTGCGGGTGCGGGGTCTGGGGGTGCTGAGCTTGGGGGTGCTGAGCCTGGGGGTTCGGAGCCTGGGGGTGCGGAGCCTAAGGGTGTTGAGCTAGGGGGTGCTGCGTCTGGGGGTGCTTAGCCTGGGTGCGGGGAGTCTGAGGGTGCTGGGCCTGCTCGTGTGGAGTCTGTCGGTAGTGGGTCTGAGGTCCCTCGGGTGCTTCGTCCCGGCGGGAGCTACCCTCTTCACAGGAGCTGCGCGAATGGTTTGCTCGGCGCTGGAGCCGTGCTGCTTGACCTGGAGGTTTTGCTGCTACTGAGGGTGTTTGTGCCACGAGTCCCCGAGGTGCTCCTACTGGAGGTACTGGAGGTGCTGGGCCTAGGGGTGCTCCTGGTGCTGGAGTTGCTAGCGGTGCTTCTGGAGTGGGTGCTGCTGGAGGTGTTAGAGCTGTGGCTGTTGAGTCTTCCGGTGGTTCGGCTAGAGCTGGAGCTGCTGGGGGTGTTGGTGCTGAAGGTGCTACTCGAGGTGGTGCTTCTGAGGGTGCTGGAGTTGGCCGTGCTACAGCTAGGGGTGCTATTGGTGCTGGTGCTGTCTCTGCTCGCTCTGGAGGCGCTGCGCGGCTGCGGCCGTACTTCGTTCTGCTCCTTAAGCAGGTTCTTCGTCTCCCGCCTTCTGCTGGTCCTACTCCTTCCTTAGAGTGTCCAACGCCTGTCCAGTCTGAGTCGCAGTTACAGCCCGCCTCCCCACTGCCTGCTCCCTCTCCCTACACTGGTCCTACTAGAGGTCTTGCTGAGCGTTGTGAGCTTGCGTCTCGTCCTGCATTGCCTGCTCGTGCTGGTCGCAGTAGTAGTCGTGTTCCGCGTCCGCGTCCTCTTGCGGTCCCCGACACACACCAGATGGGACTTCGTCCTTCCACTTCTCCTCTGCGTGTCCCGTTGCCGTCTCCTCTAGAGTCCTCTCTTCATGTTCTTGCTGGCCCGGTGTCTGGATCTCTTCGTGCTGCTAGTCCTACTATCACGCGTCTCTTGGCTACTATTGTCACTGATCCTTCCTTTGAGTCCACTGCTGCATCTGCCTTAGTTGCTAAGCTTGTCGACTTTGCTGCTACCTGTCGTCAAGACTACGCTACTAGTCTTGTTGCTGAGTCTGAGTTTGTCTGTCCTCCATCCGTCGGGGGTGAGTGTGCTCTTAGCACGGACGTCCTTGAGGACAGGTAGGAGGAGTTCCAGTGTTTGCTCCTGCTTTGCCTCATCTCGTGTCCATGCTCGTTGCCCCTGAGGGAGACCCGGATGCACCAGACATCCCGACTCCTCGATCGTACGCTGAGGCGATCAAGGGTCCCTACTCCTCTCAGTGGCAGTCAGCCATGGACGCAGAGATGGCTTCCTGGAAGTCCATAGGCACCTACGTCAACGAGGTTCCCCCACCTGGGGCGAACATCGTTAGTGGCATGTGGATTTTCAAGGTGAAGCGGCCGCCGGGTTCTCTGCCTGTCTTCAAGGCGCGCTATGTGGCTCGAGACTTAAGTCAGCGGCAGGGAGTTGACTACTTTCAGACCTTCTCTCCCACCCCGAAGATGACCACTCTTGGGGTGCTGCTGCACATAGCCACTCAGCGCGACTACGAGCTTCACTCTCTTGACTTCAGCACAACTTTCTTGCAGGGCAGCCTTCACGAGGAGATCTGGCTTCGCCGCCCACCTGGCTTCACTGGGTCGTTTCCTCCTGGTACCCAGTGGAGCCTCCGGCGGCCAGTCTACGGTCTCCGCCAGGCGCCATGTGAGTGGCACGACACACTAATGACTACACTTGCGGCTCTTGGGTTTGCTCCTTCTACTGCCAACCCGTCGCTGTTTCTGCGCACCGACACCTCTTTGCCGCCGTTCTACATCCTCGTGTACGTCGACAACTTGGTCTTTGCCAGTGCTGATAGTACTGGACTAGCCCACGTGAAGTCCGAGCTGTAGAAGAGACACACGTGCACAGACCTGGGTGAACTACGCAGCTACTTTGGCTTGCAGATCACCCGGGATAGAGCACAGCGCACCATTACCCTGACTAAATTACACATGGTGCAGCAGGTCCTTCAGCGCTTCGACTTCACGTACTCCTCGCCTCCGGCCACTCCTCTGTCTACTCGCCACTCGCTCTCAGCTCTGCCTTCGGATGAGTCTGTAGAGCCGAGTGGCCCGTACCCGGAGCTTGTTGGCTGCCTCATGTACCTGATGACCTCCACTCGACCTTACCTTGCATACCCCCTTAGCATCTTGGCACGCTATGTTGCTCCTGGGAGACACCGACTTGAGCATATGGGGGCAGCGAAGAGGGTGTTGGGCTACTTGTGCAGTACATCGGGCATGGGGCTAGTGCTTGGAGGGCGGCGTTCAGTGGTCCTCACCGGTCACGTAGACGCTTCTTGGGCTGACGACGAGGCTACGCAGCGGTCGTCAGAGGGTTACACCTTCAGCCTTGGTTCCAGCTCTGTTTCGTGGCGGTCTACCTGCTCGTCTTCTGTTCTCGGCTCCAGCTATGAGGCTGAGATCTACGTGGGGGCCATGGCTGCACAGGAGCTACGCTGGCTCACCTACTTGCTCGCACGATGCTAGGTCTTGTGCCTACTTGGCCTCACTTGCTTACTTCTTGACCTTGCCTGTACTGTCATGTTTTTGTACTTGCACTTGCTTGTTTACCTTTGTATATGATCTTGCATGTGAACTGGCCTTGTGGCCTTGAACTTGTGCTCGGAGTGTGTGATGACGTTGTGATCCACACCGAGCTTGCTTTACTTTGCTTGACTGGTCTTGTGACCCCTTGTTCTCCCCCACTTTGCCTATGGGGGTGTGTCAGACTTGTATGACTTAGCGTGTGTAGGCTACAGTGGGGTAGCACATATGGGGTACAACACATTTGTAGGTTTGTTCTTGTACCCAACCTTTCCCTTAGTCAATAATTCCTCATTTCTTAACATTGACAACCCTGGTCTCGTTCTTAGGGCTACTATATGCAGAGATTACAGTCTTATATATTCCAGTTGTTGGGCTGAGGTGAAGCCCTAAGATCTTTTAGTGTTTCATCCTTCAAAAATGTTGTAGCTGAAGTTTGGATTTAGAGTGATTCTAATAGTGAGAACAAGAATTGATAATAACAAGGAAGTACAAAGGAATATATCATTCTAGAAAACAGCCTTAGGTCTTTTTGTTTGTTCCAACACCTGTAACAGCTTAGAAGAGTTTGGCAGAAGAAGCTTTAGGATACGTTATGATGTTGTCAAGTAATAATTATATGTTTTGTTAGTTTGCTAGAGTTTAGCAAATTTTATCAGTGGAAATCACCATGATACCCTATTTTTCAGGATGGTTTTTGGTAGTCACACTGATGGGTTAGGGTAATTTTTTTTGGAGCTAAGATTTTCCTGATATGCCAAGGTTTACATTTAAGGCACAGAGATGACTTAGGTTTAACAATCTTCATAACAAAATTTACCCTGAAGCGAGTACCACACCCCTCCCCCCCCCCCCCCCCCCCCCACCACTCCCCCCACCCCCCCTTTCCCGTAGCCTGGGATTCCCGATTACCAACTGTCAAAACCGGAATTTCAGCCTCGACAATACATGTGCTGGCACGAAGTGGGCCACCATTGGCCAGAAACACCAGGGTTTGAAAACTGGTACACTGATGCCACTGGGTTGGAATTTCAAAAACAAGAAAAACACTGATGGATCAAGGTTTGAACAAGGTGTCACACTGATAATCAAGATTGAGAAAGCTTGCATTCTGTCTCTTGCAAGGCAACATGCTTCATTTCAATTGGGCAAGGCAACGTGCTTCATTTCAATTGGGTAATTACAACATTCTCATCCAACTAAAACAATATATAGAGATCAATTAGGGGCGGGTTGGGGGGAAGCGGAACTGTAAAGTTCCGAAATGAAGATGTGGGAGGAGGCCAAATGGCCTCCAACCCTCGTTATGTACTCGGAGATGTGCATTTGCAGTTGCCTTTGTGAGAGAAATGAACAGGAATGAAATGACTAAGTCAGAGTTGGGTACAAATACAACCCTAGAAAGCTGTATTCCATATGTGCTACCCCACTATAGCCTACAAACATGCATCAGCTATAATAATCTGACACACCCCCATAGGCAAAGTGGGGGAGAACAAGGGGTCACAAGACCAGTCAAGCAAAGCAAAGCAAAGCAAGCTCAGGGTGGATCACAAAGTCACCACACAGTCCGAGCACAAGAGCAGGGCCAGAGGCCAGTTCACATGCAGGAGTACAGACATATATATAAAACTAGACAAGCAGCAGCAGGTATATATATGTCACAGTACAAGTAAAGTCAAGAGGAGAGCAAGTGAGGCAAGACAGGCACAAGACCCAGCTGGGTGCAGAAGCGCTGATGGTCACAAGGCGCAAGTGCCTTGGTGAACACATCAGCAGTGTTGGCCTCAGAGGCCACGTACGCAAGTCGCAACTGACCACGCTGCTGCAGCTCACGAGCAAGGAAGTAGCGGAGAGCAATGTGCTTCGTTCTGTGCTCCAAGCGCTGCTCTCGACACAAGGCCAGCATAGCCTTGTTGTCTACGTACAGCACTGGAGGAGAACGAGGCGGCTCTCCAAGGTCAGTCAGCAGGTAGGTGAGCCAGCGAAGCTCCTGTGCAGCCATGGCCCCGGCGTAGATCTCAGCCTCACAACTGGAGCCGAGAACCGAAGACGAGCGAGTAGACCGCCACGAGACAGAGCCGGAACCAAGGCTGAAGGTGTAACCCTGTGACGACCGCTGCGTAGCCTGGTCGTCAGCCCAAGAAGCGTCCGCGTGGCCGGTAAGGACCACTGGACTCCGCCCTCCAAGCACTAGCCCCATGCCTGACGTACTGCACAGGTAGCGCAATACCCTCTTCGCTGCAGCCATGTGCTCCGGTCTGTGTCTCCCAGGAGCAACATAGCGTGCAAGAATGCTAAGAGGGTATGCAAGGTCAGGTCGTGTGCAGGTCATCAGGTACATGAGGCAGCCAACAAGCTCCGCATACGGACCACTCGACTCTACGGACTCATCCGAAGGCAGAGCTGAGAGTGAGTGGCGAGTAGGCAGAGGAGTGGCCTGAGGCGAGGAGTACGTGAAGCCGAAGCGCTGAAGGACCTGCTGCACCATGTGTGACTGAGTCAAGGTGATGGTGCGGCGTGCTCTGTCCCGAGTGATCTGCAAGCCAAGGTAGCTACGCAGTTCACCCAGGTCTGTGCACGTGTGTCTCTTCAGCAGCTCGGACTTCACGTAGGCGAGTCCAGCAGTGTCCGCTGTGGCAAAGACCAAGTCGTCGACGTACACCAGGATGTAGAACGGCGGCAGTGACGTGTCGGTGCGCAGAAACAGCGACGGGTCAGCAGTAGAGGGAGCAAACCCAAGAGCCGCAAGCGTAGTCCTCAATGTGTCGTGCCACTCACGCAGTGCCTGGCGGAGACCGTAGACTGGCCGTCAGAGGCTCCACTGGGTGCCAGGAGGGAAAGTCCCAGTGAAGCCAGATGGACGGCGCAGCCAGATCTCCTTGTGCAGGCTACCCTGCAGGAACGCAGTGCTGAAGTCGAGAGAGTGAAGCTCGTAGTCGCGCTGAGCGGCTATGTGCAGCAGCACCCGAAGAGTGGTCATCTTCGGGGTGGGAGAGAAGGTCTGAAAGTAGTCAACTCCCTGCCGCTGACTGAAGCCACGAGCAACGTACCGCGCCTTGAAGACAGGTGGAGAGCCCGGCGGCCGCTTCACCCGGAAGATCCACATGCCACTGACGATGTTCGCCCCAGGAGGGGGAACTGCGTCAACGTAGGTGCCTGTGGACTTCCAGGAAGCCATCTCTGCATCCATAGCTGCCTGCCACTGAGAGGAGTAGGGACCCTCTACGGCCTCCGCGTAAGAGCGCGGAGTCGGGATGTCTAGTGCATCCGGGTCTCCCTCAGGAGCAAGCAGTACACACGCGAGATGAGGTGAAGCAGCAGCCAGACACTGTAACTCCTCCTGCCTGTCCTCTAGGACGTCCGTGCCAAGAGCACACTCACCCCCGACGGACGGAGGACAGACAGACGCAGATTCAGCAACAAGACTAGCAGTGTAGTCTAGACGACAGCGAGCAGCAAAGTCGACGAGCTCAGCGACAAGAGCAGACGCAGCAGTGGACTCAAAAGAGGGGTCAGTGACGACAGTAGCAAGCAGACGCGTGACAGTAGGATTGGCAGCACGAAGAGAGTCTGACTCAGGGTCGGCAAGCGCACGAAGAGAGGACTCAGGAGGAGAAGGCAAAGGGGCATGCAGAGGAGCAGTGGACGGACGCAGAGACATCCGGTGCGTGCCAGGGAAAGGAGGAGGACGCTGACGCGAACCGCGACCACTAGCGCGAGCAGCACGAACAGGCGACGCGGGACGAGACGCAGGCTCACGACGCTCAGCAAGACCTCCAGTAGGACCAGTGTAAGGAGAGGGAGCAGGCAGAGGAGAGGAAGGCTCCAACAGTGACTGTGACTGGACAGGCTGTGGACACTCTACCGGAGGAGAAAGACCAAGAACGTGCTGCAGGAGCGGAACGAAGTACGGCCGAGGCCGCGCGGCAGCTCCAGACTCAGCAGGGACAGCACCAGCACCCTCAGCGACAGCACCAGCACCACCAACACCTCCAGCGGCAGGACCCCCAGCAGCACCAGCAGCAGAACCACCGCGAGGACAGACAGCAGTGGTCTCAGCACCAACATCCTCAGCAGCTCCAGCTCCAGGAGGACCCGCAGGCCCAGCAGCTCCGGGACCGGCAGCACCAGCACCCTCGACGGTCGAAGAAGCTCCAGCTCCAGCAGCACGCCTCCAGCGGCGAGCAAACCACTCGCGCAGCTCCTGTGGAGAGAGGGGCTCCCGGCGAGACGCAGCAGCAGGAGAAACCCAGGGCTCAGCAGCTCCAGACCCAGCACCCCCAGGCTCAGCAGCACCCAACTCAGCACCCCCAGGCTCAGCAGCTCCAGGCACAGCACCCCCCGGCTCAGCACCCCCAGGCTCAGCACCCTCCACAGTAGCACCCCCAGGCCCAGCACCTCCAGGCTCAGCACCCCTAGTAGCAGCACCTCCAGGCTCGGCACCCCCGCGCACAGCACCCCCAGAGTCAGCACCCCCAGGCTCAGCACCCGCAGCAGCACCAGAGTCACCAGTAACCTCGACCGGGTCAACTGCGTCTACCTGGGACACAACTGAGGGGGCAGGAACCTGAGGGGGGAGGGGGTCTACCGGGGGGGGAACCGGCACAAGGAAGTCCGGCGGAGGGGGGAGGGAAGGAGTGCGGGAGGGGAAGAGGCGGTAGAAGGGGACTGACTCGTCGAACGTGGCGTCCTGGGAGGACAGAACACGACGAGAGGAGGGGTGGTAAAACTGCCACCCTGGAGCGTCAGTGGGGAAGCCAAGGAAGACACAGGGAGCAGCACGAGGGGTCAGCTTGTCCGCTGACAAGTCGCGGACAAACGCCCGAGATCCCCAGACACGGAACGCCGACGCATCGCCAACCTTCCCCGTCCACAGTAACACTGGGGACATCGCGGGCCGAGAGACCCTGGGGTGAAGGTTGAGCTGATGCGCCGCGTACCTCACCGCAAACGGCCACATAAAATGGGGGGCAGCCGCATGCATCATGGACGTACGAGCGACATCCATGACCATGCCAATGCGGCGCTCAGCAATCCCATTTTGCTGTGGAGAGTCCGGAAGCGTGAAGGTCTGGCGGATCCCCCGTGCACGACAGTAGTCTCGCAGAAGGCGAGAGGAGAACTCTCCGCCTCTGTGCGAGTGCAGACGCAGAACAGGAAAGTCCGAGCCGAAGCTCTTTCTGAGCTGGAGACGAGCCTCGCGGATCTAGTCGATCAGCACCTCAGTGACAGCACCCTTGCTGCGCAAGGAGAGGACTGTGGTGTAACGCGAGTAGTCGTCAACCACCAACAGGAAGTAGCGCTCGTGACCCTGCCCACGGACGGGGGCTGGGCCCCACACGTCCATGTGAAGCGTCTGCAGAGGAGCCTCTGTCGGGGGGAACTGGGAGGAGTGAGGAGTAGCCCGGAGGCGACCCTCGACACAGGAAGGTCCTGGCCCGGAGGGAAGGGGAGGGAGAGACTGGGGAAGACCAGAGACAAGGACACGGGAAGCCATGCTCCGAAGACGGGGCAAGGACGGGTGGCCAAGACGGTGGTGCCACAGGAGAGTCTCGTGAGACAGGAGGCGACAAGAACAGGGGGCAGACTCAGGACCTGACCGGGACGCAGCAGCAAGCACCTGACTTGACGCAGCTACCTGACCGGGCGCAGGGACAGGAGGAGACGTAGTGGTCAGGGTGTAGAGACTCGACCCCGGCCGACGTGAGAAGGTGGCCAGGTGTCGGCCTGTGCGTGCGTCCGTGCAGTGGGTCACCCGCTGACTCGCAGGAGTGAACTGGTGAACCCCCGCATCCTGCAGGTCCGCACCACTCACCAAGTTCGTAGAGAACGAGGGAAGGTACAGACCAGACAGGGTGCCCGAAGGGGCAGCCGGACACGGGAGGACAGTGGAGAAGTGGGAGAGGACAGGACCCCTAGAGGGGTCAGCCAGGGAGACGGCAACCGGCCGGCCAAGCGGCGTGAGGGTGGTGCGGTCTCGAAAGAAGGAGCGAGAAGCCCCGGAGTCAAGTGTGAAAGTGAGGGAGGACGAGGGCGACGCAGTACCTGAGAGCGCAGTCTCACCAGTACCTGAGAGCGCAGACGCACTGGCACCTAGAGCAGCAGCCTCACAAGCACCTAGCGCAGCAGTACCAATGCCCGGGTCGGGCTGGAAACACCGGTAAACCTCATTCTCCTCACTAATAGTCACAGCATACATAGCAGCAAGGATAGCATCAAAATCAAGATCAAAGATTGCTACACCAGCCCTAAGAAGCTCATCCCAGCGAGGGATCTCACTAGCCCCGGGGAACTGCTGACGCCAAGCGTCCGTCAGGCGGCCAAAGCAGCGCTGGGTGGGGTGGGCACCCCCACACTGCTCACCCGCGCGGTCGCCGGAACGAAGGACGTAGGTGCAAGGACCAGTACCCCCACCCCTCTGACGCTGAGTGTACCACTCACGAAGCTGCTGAGGCGGAGGGATGTCCCGCGAACGCTGCTGCTGCTGCTGCTGCGAGCGCTGGCCACCACCACCGCCGCTCCGCTGCTGGGTACCACCCCGACCAGCTCCACCCCCTCCACCACCAGCGCCTCCTCCGCCGCCTCCTCCGCCGCCTCCACCTCCGCCGCTGCCACCACCACCACCGCTGCCGCCACCACCGCCGCCTCCGCCGCCGCTGCCACCACCACCACCACCCCCGCCACTACTCCCGCCGCCACCCCCACTCCCTCCGCCGCCTCCGCCGCCACCGCCACCGCCCCCTCCAGCTCCACCCGCGCCCTTGCCCCCCTTGCCCTTGCCAGAGCGACGTCTCCCACTAGGGGCAGACGCCGCGCCGACCGACTCAAGACCAAGCAGGTCGGCAGCAGCAGCAGAGGCAACAGAGGGCAGCAAGGGGGAAGGAGAGCACCCCTCAAAGATGGGGGTGCGAGGGTCACCACGAGAAGCTCCTACAGTGACTATGCTCTTCTCCGCTGCGAGGAGGGCCTTCTCGAGGATGTCGACGGTGAGGGTGGTGGGACAGACTGCGAGAAAGTGGTCCCTGACTACGCGAAGGGAGTCAGGGAGGCGCGCGACTACGTAGTAGAGAGTGATGTACATGGGGGGGGGGTTCTTAGCGCCGAACTCAGCAGGAAGGGCGGCGCCGTAGCGAGTGTCACTAGTGCGGAGGTGCGTAATGAGGTCAGCGACAGTGGGAAAGGCAGAGAGGTCAGGAAAGAGGTAGGGAAGCATGAGACGGCTCAGTGCAGCAGTGGCAGGGGAGGAGTAGCGCGCAACTACAGCGTCGTACAAGGTCTGAGCACTCTTGTACTGACTAAAGTGCGCGCGCTCAGAGGTAGGGAGGTGGCGACGCACAGCAAGACGTGCAGCAGCATCGCGGGTGGCCCACTGAGAGCGCACAGTGGGATCAGCATCAGCAGCAGGGGCAGTAGAGGCGCCAGAAGTGAGGTCAAAGAGAGAGAGGCCGTCTGCCCTATCACACTGTAAAAACAACTGCAGGTCATCGACCCAGACCTCAAAGTCAATGGCTCGACCCTCAGCGTCAAAAGCTAGGACACTAGGGGTAGCCATGACGACGACAGCGAAGCAGTGCAAGCAGTAGGGGAAGAGCACGCAGTGACAGTGGGACTGTGCTCACCAGGCAGGGCTGGCCGGGCAGCTCTGCAGAAGGGCGGCTCGGCGACTCGGCTGCTGGGCGGCTCTGCGCCCGGGCGGCTCGGGTGCAGGGCGGCTCGGCTCCCGGGCGGCTCGGCGGCAGGGCGGCTCGGGTGCAGGGCAGCTCGGCTCCCGGGCGGCTCGGCGGCAGGGCGGCTCGGGTGCCGGGCGGCCCGGGTGCGGGGCGGCTCGGCTGCACTTCTGCTCGGCTGCTGCAGGTGGGCGGCTCGGCTGCTGCAGGTAGGGTGGCGGGGCCGCGAGAGCGCAGGCGGCGGGGCCGCGTCTTAGCAGGCGGCGGGGCCGCATCGTAGCGGGCGGCGGGGCCGCTTCAGAGCCGGCGGCGGGGCCGCGTCAGAGCCGGCGGCGGGGCCGCGTCAGAGCCGGCGGCGGGGCCGCGCTTAGTCGGCAGCAGGGCTGGTCAGAGCCGGCGGCGGGGCCGCGTCAGAGTCGGCGGCGAGGCCTTGTCGTAGCAGGCGGCGGGGCCGCGGCTGAGTAGGTGGCGGGGCCGTGTTGGAGCGGGCGGCAGGGGCCGCGTCGTAGCGGGCGGCGGGGCCGCGTCAGAGCAGGCGGCGGGGCCCCGTCAAGCAGGCGGCGGGGCCGCGTTTGATCGGGCGGCGGGGCCGCGTCGTAGCGGGTGGCGGGGCCGCTTTTGAGCAGGCGGCGGGGCCGCTTCACAGCTGGCGGCGAGGCCGCGACGTGGCGGCGGGGCCGCTTCGTAGCGGGCGGCGGGGCCGTGATGGCGGCGGGGCCGCGATCGGGTGGCGGGGCCACTTCGTAGCGGGCGGCGGGGCCGCGACGTGGCGGCGGGGCCGCGATCGGGTGGCGGGGCCGCGATCAGAAGGGGTGGCGGGGCCGCGTCTGAGGGACTGCGGGGCCGCGAGGGAAAGGGCGACTCGAGGGGTCGCTAAAAAAAATGCGCGCCTCGGGGCGCGCTTCGGTGGGCCCTAGGAAACGTTCCCACAGGGAACTCGCTCTATACCATGTGAGAGAAATGAACAGGAATGAAATGACTAAGTCAGAGTTGGGTACAAATACAACCCTAGAAAGTTGTACCCCATATGTGCTACCCCACTATAGCCTACAAACATGCATCAGCTATAATAATCTGACAGCCTTGCTTCACTACTGTCAGGTGCGCTTTCAAAATAATTATTTTTGGAAAGTGTTTCACACTTTCAAAAATTTTCATATTGAGAAAGCTTGCTTTCTGTTTCTTGCAAGGCAACGTGCTTCATTTCAATTGGGTCTTCAGAGACATGTGCATCCACGGAAGAAGTGTGGATGGCGGAGCCAGTTGATAGCGATGTCTAGTGAGATTGACTGTCGGTGATGGTCGTTGCGCTCCATGTCGACGAGGGTATGCAAGTTGCTCCTTCGTTGAGGTAGATGTCTATGCCGAGGGTTGTCGGTGGAGTGGAAGACCATGGTTTGAAGTGAAATTTGTGCTGGCGCGTGAGGTGGAGAAGGTGGTTGTTGAAGACGGCCCATCTGTCACTCATAAATTTGCCAGTGTTGCGTAAAGACTGATGCCGTTATGTCCGTGTTCTTTGGAGAATATTGAGGCGTAGGGTCATTAGCTGATAGCAGTCGTGAAACTAGAGGTGACGGACCAAGTTTTGAGGAAAGGGTGCCATTTGGCTACGTCAATAACGGATGCGGTGGTGGTGGGCTTGACATACAAAGCTAAACACCGTTGTAGTAGATATTTGCAATACGATATATTGCAAATCTGTCCAGGGAGCATCATGACCTTGTATGAATTAAGGCGCATAAGTCACAGATGAAGACGCGTAAATAGTAACCTTTCATTATTGCGATTGCACCCCTAAGACATAGGAACAAAGGGGCCCAGAATCGTATATAATCGTGGTAGAGCGGCCGACTACGACGACCAGAGCGTTACGGCATGCCTCGTTTGCAAGATTGGTAGATCCAAAGAAATACGGGTTCGTAAAAGTAGTGTCATATAACAATACGCATTGTAAGAGAGCTTGAGGAAATGCCTCCAATCCCGGATTACTAGCCCATCAATTGCTCATCTCTTGGCACATCGGTTGCTTATCTCTTGGCCTGCCGGTTGCTCATCGCTTGGCCCATCGATTGCTCATCGTCGGCCCATATGTTGCTCATTGCTCGGCCCCATCAATTGCTCATTTCTTGGCCCGTCGGTTGCTCGTACCTTGGCCCGTCGGTTGCCCGTCGCTCGGCCCATCGATTGCTCATCCCTTGGCCTGTCGGTTGCTCATCTCTTGGCTGGTCGGTTGCTCATCCCTTGGCCGGTCGGTTACTCATCGCTTGGTTCGTTGGTTGCTCCTCGCTTGACCTGTCAGTTGCTCATCGCTTGGTCCGTCCGTCGCTCATCGTTTGGCCCATCAGTTGCTCATTTCTTGGCCTGTCGGTTGCTGATCTCTTGGCCTGTCGGTTGCTCATCTTGTCACAACATTATAGCTTATACATTTGTGTAGGCTGTAGTGGGGTGGCCCATAAGGGGTACAACCCAATTAGGGTTAGTACTTGTACCAAACTCTTTCATAGTTCAATCATTCTCTCGTTCTCATCTTCACATGGTATAAAGCGGGTTCCCTTGTGGGAACTGTTCCTAGGGCCCACCGACTTTTTTTTTCCTGCCCGGAGTACGCCTGGCCCCTGCCCGAGTCGCGCCCCGTGTCGTTCCTCCTCTAGCGACCTCTAGCGGCCCCTTGTACGGCCCCTAACGGCCTCGTCGTGCCGCCCTTTCGGCCCCGTCGCGCCGCCCTTGCGGCCCCGACGCGCCGCCCTTGCGGCCCCGTCGCGCCGCCCTTGCGGCCCCGTCGCGCCGCCCTTTAAGCGGACCGTCGCGCCGCCCTTGAAGCGGCCCCGTCGCGCCGCCCTTTCGACCCCGTTGCGCCGCCCCTGCGGCCCCGTCGAGCCACCCTTGCGGCCCCGTCACGCCGCCCTTTCGGCCCCTTCGCGCTGCCCTTTCGGCCCCGTCGCGCCGCCCTTGCGGCCCCGTCGCGCCGCCCTTTAAGCGGCCCCGTCGCCGCCCCCTTACTGCGGCCCTGTTGCCGCCCTTTCAGCGGCCCCGTCGCTGCCCTTTCAGCGGCCCTGTCGCCGCCCTTCCACGGCCCCGTCGCCGCCCTTCGACGGCCTCGCAGCCCGCCCTTGCAGTGGCCCCATCGCTGCCCTTCCGCGGCCCCGTCGCCGCCCTCCAGCGGCCCCGTCGCCGCCCTTCAGCGGCCCCGTCGCCGCCTTTTCAGTGGCCCCAACACCGCCCTTTCAATGGCCCCGTCGCCGCTCGCCCTTTCAGTGGCCCCGTCGCCGCCCTTCCGCGGCCCCGTCGCCGCCCTTCAGCGGCCCCGTCGCCCCCCCCCCCCCCCCCCCCCCCCCTCCTTCCGCGGCCCAGTCGCCTCCCTTTCAGCGGCTTGTCGCCACCCTTTCAGCGGCCCGTAGCCGCCCTTTCAGCGCCCCGTCGCCGCCCTTCCACGGCCCCGTCGTCGTTCAGCCGCCCAGCGCCCGAGCCGCCGAGCAACCGCACCGCCGAGCAGCCGAGCCGCCCAGCAGCCGAGCCGCCGAGCGGCCGAGCCGCCCGACCACCGAGCCACCATTCAGCCGAGCCGCCCGACCGCCGTGCCGCCCAGCAGCCGAGGCGCTGCCGCCTTTCGGCCTGCTCGGGACCGCCCCACTTACTTGCCGCCCCTGGAGCACCCGCCACTGCAGCAGCCGCCCCTGGAGCAGCCACCACTACAGCAGCCACCCCTGGAGCAGCCGCCACAGCAGCAGGCGCGGAGCTCTCGCTCTACAGTGGTCGTGGCGTCGCCGTTGCCGCCATCGTACGCCTGCCCTTCTCGCCACTGGTGAGCACTCCCCTGCCCGTACTGCTGTTACTGCTGCTCTTGCTACTGCTGCTCCTGGCTTGGCCACATGCAGCTCCAGCGTCGCCCGCGTGAGTCCCTCACCCCCCAACAGCTTTGTGAGTGGTACACTAGTTGGGGTTGTCGTGGTGGCCGTAGTGGGAGTCGTCCTGGAGTGGGTGGTTCGGCAACTACTTGTAGTGACCAGGTGCAGCCTCAGCGTCGTCCACGAGTGGTCCTCTCGCCCCAGCAACTTCGTGCGCAGCGTGACGGGTCACGGGGTACTGCTTGCTGTCCGTACGTCAATCGCACTAGTGCTCGGACGGGTCAGCCTTGCGGGATGCTCGGTCACGCACCGTCCCGCTGCTTCGCCCGTCTGAGCGACGCCTGGCGTACGGAGTTTGGTGACACGGCTGAGCTCCCCGACTTGGTGGAGTTGCTTCGGCTGCGGGTTGATATCTATTCTCTTGACTATGATGCTATCCTCACTGCCATGTATGCATCGCCTACTAGTGATGAGGGTGACTGTTACCTGTGTGTTCCGCCTGACCCGGGCATTGAAGCTGCTGCTCTAGGTGCTGGTGAGGCTGCTGCTCTAGGTGCTAGTGCGTCTGCTGCCCCAGGTGCCATTGCGTCTGCTGCCCCAGGTGCCAGTGCGTCTGCTGCCCCAGGTGCCGGTGAGTCTGCTCTCTCAGGTACTACATCAGCTCAGGCCTTCCAAACCTTCACCCTTGACTCGGGTGCGTCCCGCTCCTTCTTTCGAGACCGCACCACTCTTACGCCGCTCAGTCGGCCGGTTGCAATCTCCCTAGCAGACCCCTCTAGGGGTCCTGTCCTTGCTAGCTTCTCCACTCTCTTACCATGCCCGGCAGCCCCCTCTGGCACCCTGTGAGGTCTCTACCTCCCCTCGTTCTCTACGAACTTGGTGAGTGGAGCGGACCTACAGGATATGGGGGTTGACCAGTTCACTCCTGCGAGTCAGCGAGTGACCCACTGCACGTGTGCTCGGACAGGCCGACACTTGGCCACGTTCACCCGTCGGCCAGGGTCGAGCCTGTACACCCTTACTACTGAGTCTCCTCCAGCTGCTGAGTCCGCCCAGGTAGCTGCGTCGAGTCAGGTGTTTGCTGCAGCATCCAGGTCCGGTCCTGAGTCTGCTCCCTGCTCGTGTCGTCTACTGTCCCACAAGACTCTCCTTTGGCACCACCGCCTTGGTCACCCCTCCCTGCCTCGTCTCTGAGGCATGGCCTTCAGTGTCCTTGTCTCTGGTCTCCCTCGGTCTCTCCCTTCCCTACCTCTGGGGCCTGGCCCTACCTGCGTCCCCTGCGTCGAAGAGCGACAGCGCGCCGCTCCTCACTCCTCCGAGTTTCCTCCGACAGAGGCTCCGCTGCAGACTCTACACATGGACGTGTGGGGCCCAGCAAGCGTCAGTGGGCAGGGGAGAGAGTGGTACTTTCTGCTGGTCGTTGACGACTA